AAAAAAAAAAAAAAAGCTAGCAGAAGTTAGTAGTGATATCACCTGAGTGCCTCACAAGGTGACTCGCCTTGCCTTTGAAAGCACAGGAGAACTGGCTACAGTGCCTCTATCAATAGATAGAATAACTGAAACCTCAACAAAATACCAGCCCCTGATACCTTCCAAAAGTGTGGTTAGACATACTTTTCCAATTGATAGATGCTTTTCTTCTCCCATGGTTTATTCTTACTAATCTCTAGGAAAGAATCTCCAATTCTTGCAACATTTTAGATGGCATGGAGGCCATGAAGGAGCACTGCTGAGAAGGGCCTGCTGTAGGAGGCGTTGCTGACTGAGAGCCTGGGAGCTGAAGCCACGCTTTCCCCAAGCTGCTACCAGCCAATGACTGAGCATAGCAGTGATACTAAGAGTGGGGCCATTTCTCTTGAATACAACACTCTTCTAACAGGCAGGAACTCACTTCGGGCCTGGCTGAAGACTTGCTCGGTACTGAGCTGTGATATGAAGCTACCCCTACTCAATTCTCTCTGCTGCCTCTCCTTTCACAGGTGTCAGATCTACGTCACTACTTGCAAGCTCTTCCCATCTATTTCTGCTCTTTCTTCCTCTGGCCTTCATGGGAGATAGATCTACTGGTTCTCTTGAGCATGTCTAATGCCATCTTTGCATCAATGTCTCAGAGGACCTGACCTGGGCCATGTGGTAAATAAGCCTTCCCAAGTTAAAATTGTGCCATATAATATTATAATGAGCATGCTCAGTGTCTGAAATCAGCCAGCAGAGGTTAGAATGGTAAGAAGGGTGGGAATGGCGTTGGGAGACTTAGATTTCTCAGCTTGATCTCAGTGAGGTTATATTTTGGGCACTGCATTTTATTTAAGAAATCAGAGCAGAAATCTTAGAATATTAGACTCTTAGGAGAATTCTTTCTTTTTAAAATCGGATTTACAAGTTTGGGATGTATTTCAGTTTCTAGGACAATTATATCACACAGAGCACCATGTTTGCATAACATGTCAGATGGATGAGGTGTTTCGTGGTAATATTAAAAAAAAAGTCAGTGGGTTGAGAAATGCATATCAAGCTCATCTGTTTCCTGTGTTTTTAGATATATGTAGATGTGTGCAGTGAAAAAGTTGTTGTTGACTGGGAGCAAAACCTGGAACAGAAAAAGTTAGTTATCAATTAGTTAGCACAACAATCCAACATTCACACTTCACTGGTAAAATCATGATAGTCTGGAGTCACAGAAGGATATTTCTTCTGAAAAACCTAAGAGTTTCTGGTCTTTAGGTTGGGAGGGGTCATGTCCATCTTGTGCCTCACCCTATCCCCAGCCTTCTACACCGTGCCTCATGCATGGTGGATGGTCAATAAATATTTGCTGAAAAAAATGAAAGACAGTATGTGCAAGATAGTTTAAACCATAAGTAAATGTGATTAAACAGCACTTTGACCATTTTGGTATGTAGAATAATAGAACTAATCACAACTAGTTAGAGTCATGTTTGTTCTTCTATGATTACCGTTTGTTTTTACACTGATTACTTCTTACATGATTGATAAATGTGGGAATGCTATGGTTTTAATGTATGTGTTCCTCCAAGATTCATATGTTGAAGCTTTACCATCAAGGGAATGAAATCAGGAACTGGGACCTTGGGAAATGATTTAGCCTCGAAGGCTCTGCCTTTGTGAATGGGACCAATACCCTTATAAAAGAGACCTGCCTCGTCCTTCTATCTTTTCTGCTATGTGAGGACACAGCATTTCTCCTGTGCCATTTGAAGATACAGCAAGAAGGTACCATCTTGGAAGCAGAGAAGGACCCTCACCAGACACTAAATGTGCCAGTCCCTTGATCTTGATGATATATCATTTCTATCATTTATGAGTTTTAAGTTACCCAGTGTCTGGTATTTTTTATACTAGTAAGAATGGATGAAGACAGATAGTGAAGTTGTTATAATGTGAAAGAGGTATTGATTCATACATGATTTTTCTGAGTGTTAATTTTTTTAAGTGGAATGAGCTCTCTCACAATTAAAGAAAAGCCTTAGCAATATATAAACTCCATACAAAACTGTACAAAATTGTCACTTTTAGTGCAAACTATGCCTGCACTTCACTCTGTAAAGCTACAGTGAAACACAAGTGTACACGAAAGTGATGTGCTGACATTTCTTTCCTTATTAAAACAATGGATTAACAAAATAGGCTAGTCTGGATAAGATTTTTGATTCTGATGAACATGTCTCTATTGAAGCAAATGCCCTCCAGGAGGTACATTTCAGGAAACTGCATAAGCCCCAGGGCTTAAGTTGTAAAGAACTAGCTGTGATACTAGACACCAATCCCAAGCATATTTTAAATGTATTTGTGAAGTTTTTTAAAAAAGATTGCTATTGTTTTGTGTTCTCTGGGTACAATCGGCTTTGTGACTTCTGTTTCAACACTGCTTTTTCCCCATAGCCAGTGTTTTATTTGCCATGTGATTTTACAGAAAGCGTGTGATTTCTGCCCCCTAGAAACAGATATAGTATATAGTATGGCAGCAGGAATGCATGTATTTAAAAGAAAAGCAATAGATTAACTTGGTTAAGAATTCAGCTCTAGAGTGAAATTGCTTAGGTTTAAGTTTCAGTTTTGCCATTTTCAAGCGGAATATACTTGAGGATGGCACTGAACATTCTGTGCTTTTGTATCCACAATGGTAAAATGGGAATAATAACAGTATTATCCATTTCATTGGGGTTATTGTATAATGAGAGCTTAGAACAGTGTCAGCCACATAGTAGGTGGTCAATCTACTAATGCTAATCATTAATATGGAATAAAGCAGCTTATTCCCTAGGCCACCTAAGACGTAGTTCTCCCTGGTATGTGGAGACAGCAGGATTTAATCACTGGGAACTTCATATAGGCATTTCCTTAAGGCTTGACATATAGTTCTTTGTAGAAATTTCAGGAGCCAGTTCTCTTTTGAATTTGTATTCACTATGGCCACAACCTGTTTTTTTAAAAATTTTCTCTGTCTAGAGTCACTAGACTGACTTAAATTAAATTATAACTTTGAAACTGGATTTCCTCAAGTTACTTGTGCTCCATACAGTGGAGCCATAACACAGTTAGTCTTCTTATTTGACATTTTCTCCTACTCTTTCTTTTTGATAAATACTGACCCACTATGCCACTTACCTTATATATGAAATTGATACAGTGTAATGCAAACAAGATGTAATATCAATAACGTGATCTATCACAAACACAGCTAAAATTGCAAAGCACGTGTCCAAAATTAAGTGATACAGAATTAAAGTGTACTTTTTCTTTCTTTTTATTCTAGAGAAAGGCTGAAAAGAAACAAAGATTAACACAAAGGCTAAAACCTCTTAGTCCCTCAAGCAATATTTATATTCTTGGGAACATGTGGGAAAATGGGTAACTGGCGTCCTTGGAGTTTGCTTTAAAAGTAAGATCTTTTGAAAAATGTCGATTAATGTCCTTTGCCCACTTTTTGATGGGATTATTATTTTTTTCTTACTGATTTGTGTGACTTCCTTATAGGTTCTGGATATGCATCCTTTGTCAGATGCATAGTTTGCAAATATACTTGGGTGACGGGTGCACTAAATCTCAGAATTCACCACTGTAGAATTCATCCATGGAACCAAAAACAACTTGTACCTCAAAAGCAACTGGAATAAAAAAAAATAAATTAAGATGTCTGGGTTGACGTGTCTTTTCCTAAATGATTAGCTTTCCAAAGTAGCCATTCATCCTCAGGGTTAAACAGTGCTCTCTCCCAGCTCAATATTTTACAATGACTTGCAAAATAGTGAGCCAATTGTACTATCACTGGATTAAGCCTAATGATCAAGCTAAGTGACAGGTTGGACAAAAAGATTTCAAAGGTCCTTGGATTCTGTGAAATACTCATTAATAATAATAGGAGTTACCAACATCTAAGAACAAATTGCTGTATCCGTCCTGCTTTCTTCCATTTATGGTGGAAGAGCAATATCACAAGAAAAACTGGCAATTTGGCAGAAAAGGTACCATATGGAGACTAGAGATGCCTGTTTTCAAATTCTCTATTGGATTGGTCAGGGTCTTCTAATGCGAATACACATGAATAAAATTATGATAAGGGGAAAAATAAATTATGTATTAAGCACATATGTCAGGTTCTGTGATTAACATCTATTATTTCATTTAATTCCTCCATAAAAGAAACCTCATAAAAACCCTGTGATTTAGGCATCCTTATTATTTAGTTAAAGGATCAGACTCAGAGAAATTGAGTATGAATAAGCTTGCTCAAAATCTGCTTTCTTTCTATCACATCAGGCCTTGCCTTAGGCTCTTCCTACTCCTGTTCCTCTCACTTGACTCCTAGTCATGTTAATATTTCTCCTAATCTCAGACTGCTTGGACTTTATTCTTTCTTCCCATCAATTGTTTCACTTTTATCCCGTTCATATCAGAATTTTAAAAAGGGTGTCAGGATCAGAATATCACCAAAACAGGTCAGCTAGTTGTCTAGAGTAGACCTCAGGGTGCTTCTGCCTTTAAGAATTCACTGTGCTCCTCAGTCTAACTCTCAGCTTTGTAGGTTCAAAACCACATTGTTTTGGGAATGATGGGAGTGACTGTTTGTCATGCTGGACTCAGTTAACTGCATTTGTAGACAGTGAAATATAAAACCAGAAAATCAGTTGATTTTATTATAATAAACAGCAAACTGGCCAGGATCTTGGACACACAGCCTGTGGCCAATACCTTCTTTCTTTGTACACATGTATCTTAAGAGACTACATTATAATCACAAAGTGATATTGAGATAGAACAGAAAGAAATTAATAATTCTATGGGTATTGAGGGCATCTGTTAAATTAGCATAGAACATACATTTCCAAAACATACACATGATACGCTGATGAAGCAAATCAAATCCTTGAGCACTGAAGAATCTTGGTAGGCATGGTTGATGCTGTTGGTTTTTAATATATATATTTTTTACCTTGTCTCATACATGCTTAGGTTCCTGCCAATTCGATTTCTGATTGTCTCATTACTGAAATCTTGCTTATTCAAGGGTGAACTTCTACAACTTAATGTGACTTTATACATATGTGTTTCAATCTGTTCTGTGTTGATTTTTTAGTTACGGTTTCAGGTGACACTCTTGTTTCTTTTATTTGGAAATGAATTTTGGGTTAGATGGGGGACAAAAAATGCTTTTCTGAACTCCCTGTGTACATCTCAAAGCCATAGATTCCAGATTACTTTTCAAAACGTAATGGGAATTATGGCTTTGAACAAAGATGTGTGAAAGATTACATTCTTGTAAATTATATCCAATTACAGTTTAGTGAGGTATTAATAATAGGACATGATATCACATTTTGCTTCAGGAATTTTGTCTATTATGATAAGAACTCTTACAAATGGAGGTGCTTATTCTCCAAAAATGTCTTAAGTGAAAACACAGTGAATGGCTGACTCCAGGATGGGATTCAGAAAGCCCTGGGAAAGCCTTATAGGCCTCAAATACTTTCCTCACCACCTGTCTGTTATTCAGCCTTTGAAGCTAATTGCTTGGAGTCGTAAAGTCTTTTTCATTTTAAAATGTTTCTTTTTAGAATGCAGGTGTACCTGGGTTATTTAATGCATTAGCCAACTTTTAACAAATTATATCATTAAACAAAATGCAGATATAATTTCAGTGTCTGAGAATTCTCCAGAAAAATTTAATTTTGAAAACGTAATATGATATATGCATATTCTGG